GATGTAGCAGAGTGTCTCGAGTGTGTGAGTTAGGTTAGGTTCAATCGATTTGAGGGCCCAAGTCACGCGAGACTCGACCGCATTTACGTATCTGTTGACATTCTACCGATGTGTTCCAGTTACGATGTTGTCCCGGTGTCATTTTCTGACCACTGTGGAGTCTTGTGCTCGATTGGAAGTGTAAAGAAACGCATTGGTTTCTCGTGGGAAACATGGAAATTTAATAGTAAGCTTCTCCAGGACGAAGAATTTATTTTATATGTAAAAGAGGCAATTAGCGAGATAGACGCCAGCAAACACCTTCACATTTGGCAGCAGTGGGAGCTTTGCAAGGAAACTTTGAAATTAAAAGCCATTGATAGGGCCACGTGCATCCGACTTGAGGAGAGAAGAAAAGAGACTGAATTGAAAGCGCTTCTCGAAAAGCTAGTGAAGTATGAAGGTTTAGCCCCCGGTAAATGGATCGAAGACATAAGAAAAATAAACAAAAGTTAGAACTGCTGGACGAACAGCGTTATCGGGGTGCGCTCGTGAGAGCAAGGGCGGAAGATACCGCGGCGGGCGAAGCACCGTCTAGACGCGCGCTTAGACTGGAAAAATCACGCGCCGAAATAACCACATACGGGAGATAGAGTGGGGCGGTATCTTATCAACCGACACGGACGGTATAGCGACAGCTTTCGCGGAGCATTATCGCAAGCTGTTCGCATTGCACGTGACCGACTGTAAGCCTTCAAGGAAAAATTTTTGACTGTCATGCCCCGTCTCGACGATGACAGAAAAAAGAGTCTGGAAAGTAAGATAACCGTTGCCGAGGTAGAAGAAGCCATAAATAAATTAAACCCGGGAAAGTCGCCGGGACCGGACGGTTTCACTGCAGCTTTTTACAAAGCGTTTAAAGACGAAATCAGCCCTCTTTTGACTTTCATATATAATGAAGCGTATAAAGTAAATACGTTGCCTCCATCATACAGCTCATCCCATACAGTCCTGATTCCGAAAACAGATGATGTCCATAAACTGAGATCTGTAACAGCATATCGACCTATAGCTCTGACAAATGTCGAGTACAAAATTAATATGAAAGTATTAGCCCGAAGATTGCAGACGGTTATGAAGGACATCGTCGGGCCGCACCAAACATGTGGCATCAAAGGAAGCTCGATTGTCCTAAATATCCATAAGGCACGCAGTGTTCTCGAGTGTTGTGATTACTCTGATGAACGAGTCGCCTTGTTACAAATAGTTTTTGGGAAGGCATTTGATTGTGTGGATCATGGCTTATTGTTTGCTGTTTTGGACCATGCTAATGTTGGTTCTGTTATTTGTGATGGAGTGGCCCTGGCGTACCGAAGCTGTACAACAAGATTGATTGTGAATAAGAGCCTTGGGTCCCCCAATAGTGTGCAACGTTCAGTGCGCCAGGGTTGTCCCCTCAGCCCCCTCTTATTTTGCTTGTATGTGGAAACCCTTTGCTTAGCCATTCTAAATGACACGCGTATAAATGGCTTCCGGCTACAATCTTCAAAAGTCAAGCTGCTTGCTTATGCTGACGATGTAGCCATTTTTTCAACAGACCAAAGTAGTATTAAACAGGCAGTTGACACTGTTCGCGAGTTCAGCCATGTCAATGGAAGCGGCGTCACTTGGTCCAAGAGTCTCGGGCTCTGGCACGGATCCTGGCACACGAAACCTGACCACTTTGCAAATGTGCCCTGGGCGACAGTCCCGGGCATGTATTTGGGCGTCCCGCTCCATGCGTATCGAGACAGTGCCCAATATTGGCAGAACCAAGTTAAAGATATGCAGGTAAAAGCCGAGAAGTGGAGGGGGGTGAGCCTGTCAATCTTTGCTAGAGCCACCGTCTGCAACCTGTTCTTTATAAGCAAGCTTTGGTACGTGCTGCAGTTGCTGCACTGCTCGCGAACTAATGTGCAGAAGTTTCACCGGATATTCGCTGTCTTTGTATGGGCTTCCAAGTGGGAACGATGGCAGCCGTACCAACTTGTTCAGACGGGTTAAAGACGGGGGCCTAGGCCTCGGTCACCTGTTTTTACGGCAACTTGTGAACAGGTTTTTGTTTTTTAGAGGCCTTACCGATCCATTCCTGCGTACCTTTTGTCAACTGCACCTCAGCAGATATCTCCCTGGATATGTTGTGACTACCTGAGGCCTGTGCAGGAGGGATTGGTGGGTTCTATCGAGAAGTTGTGTCTAGTATAAATTCCTTTCTGTGAGATTTTCAAACGAATACCTGTGGAGCGTAAAAAGAAAAGAGCTTTATTTCGCTTTGTGTGACATTGTGTTTCCAGTACCGCTTTATCGGGCTATACATAGAGGAGGACCAGGAAGCAATGTTTTAAAAAGGGCTAAAAACATGCATGTACAGCCTGCAAGCAAAACATTCTTCTTTATGCTGCACTCGGGCACATTGCCAGTGAAAGTGTTTTTGGAAGCAAAGGGATGTTTTTCCCCTTGGGGATCCCATTGCATAATTTGCAAGGCACCAGAAACAATTAACCACGTCTTCTTGCATTGTTGGGAGGGCGTGTATTTTTGGGACGTGCTGCAGAGAGCTATTAAGAAAGACATTCCATTGGACCCGTATGGAATCCGGTTCCTGAATGTTGAAAACGAAGACGGGGTACCATACGATGCAATCATGCTCCTGGGCTTCCACTCATTGTGGAGAGCGAGAATGGCGGGCTACCATTTCAACAAAGATGCGCGGCCGGCTCGAGCCTATTTTCGTGAGAGCATAGACTGGTTTCTTTCTGTTCAAAAAGCTGTACCCGAGCCACCTGACTGGCTCCCGCGGGTAGGTAATCTAGTGACTCTGCCCGATTTTTAACGGAACGACACCAGCAATAGGCTGGTGCACTAGAGACACTACCTATGTGCATTGTACATTGCGCGATTTTATTGTCTGTGTCCTTTGAGTTACATGTAAGTTGACCAGAACCAGGTAATAAAGAAAAAAAAAGCCGTAGTCGTGGCCGAGTGGTTAAGGCGATGATCTTGAAAGCCATTGGGTTCTTCCCGCGCAGGTTCGAACCCTACCGACTGCGTTTCCTCGTTTTTTTCTCTTCTCGACATAAACGACTATGTTCAGAGTGATATAGCAGATGACAACGGCACCGCATTCGTGGCGGAGTGGTCAAGGCGATAGTCTTGAAAACTATTGGGTTCTTCCCGCGCATGTTTGAACCCTGTCGACTGCGTTTCCTAGTTTTGTTTTTCTCTTCTCGACATAAACGACTATGTTCAGAGTGAAATACCAGATGAAGCCGCTGCCGCCTTCGATGCGGAGTGGTTCAGACGATGGTCTTGAAAACCTTTGGGTTCTTCCCGCTCAGGATCGAACTCTGCCGACTGCGTTTCCTCGTTTTTTTTACTTCTCGACATAAAAGCTTTGTATAGAGTGAAATCGCAGGAGACGCCGTCGCCGCAGTCATGACCGAGTGGTTAACGCGATGGTCTTGAAAACCATTGGGTTCTTGCCGCGCATGTTTGAACCCGGTCGACTGCGTTTCCTCGTTTTGTTTTTCTTTTCTCGACATAAACGACTATGTTCAGAGTGAAATACCAGATGAAGCCGGTGCCGCCTTCGATGCGGAGTGGTTCAGACGATGGTTTTGAAAACATTTGTGTTCTTCCCGCTCAGGATCGAACTCTGCCGACTGCGTTTCCTCGTTTTTTTTTACTTCTCGACATAAACAACTTTGTATAGAGTGAAATCGCAGGAGACGTCGTCGCCGCAGTCGTGACCGAGTGGTTAACGCGATGGTCTTGGAAACCTTTGGGTTCTTTCCACGCAGGTTCGAACCCTGCCGACTGCGTTTTCTCGTTTTGTTTTTCTTTTCTCCACATAAACGACTATGTTCAGAGTAAAATAGCAGATGACAACGTCGCCGCAGTCGTGGCCGAGTGGTTAAGGTGATTGTCTTGAAAACCATTGAGTTCTTTTCGCGCAGGTTCGAACCATGCCGACTGCGTTTTCTCGTTTTGTTTTTCTCTTCTCGACACAAACAACTATGTTCAGAGTGAAATAGCAGGTGACGCCCTCGCCGCAGTCGTGGCCGAGTGGTTATGGCGATGGTCTTGAAAACCATTGGGTTCTTCCCGCGCAGCTTCAAACCCTGCTGATTGCGCTTCCTTGTTTTTTTTCTCTTCTCGACATAAATTAGCTACGTTAAGAGTGAAATAAAAGTTAACGCCGTCGCCGCATTCATGGCCGAGTAATTAATGCGATGGTCTTGAAAACAATTGGGTTCTTCTTGCGCAGGATCGAACCGTGCCCACTGCGTTTCCTCGTTTTGTTTTCTCTTTTGGACATAAAACGGCTACGTTAGGAGTGAATTAGGTGTTGACGCCGCCGCCGTTGTCGTGGCTGAGTGGTTAAGACGATGGTCTTGAAAACCATTGGGATCTTCCCGCGATGTTCGAACCCTGCCGACTGTGTTTCCCCGTTTTGTTTTTCTCTTCTCGACATTGTCGACTATGTTAAGAGTGAAATTGGAGTTCGCGCCATCGCCGCAGTCGTGGCCGAGTGATTAAGACGATGGCCTTGAAAACTATTGGGATCTTTCCGCGCATTTTCGTACCCTGCCGACTGCGTTTCCTCGTTTTGTTTTTCTCTTCTCGACATAAACGACTGTGTTCAGAGTGAAATAGCAGATGACAACGTCGCCGCAGTCGTGGCCAAGTGGTTAAGGTGATTGTCTTGAAAACCATTGGTTTCTTTTCGCGCAGGATCGAACCCTGCCGACTGAGTTTACTGGTATCGTTTTTCTCTTCTCGATATAAACGGCTTTGTTCAGAGTGAAATTGCAGAAGACACCGTCGCAGCAGTCGTGGCCGAGTGGTTAAGGTGATGGTCTTGAAAACCATTGGCTTCTTCCCGAGCAGGTTCAAACCCTGCCGACTGCGTTTCCTCGTTTTTTTCTCTCTTCTCGACATAAAACAGCTACGTTAAGAGTGAAATGGGAGTTGACGCCGTCGCCGTTGTCTTGGCCGAGTGGTTAAGGCGATGGTCTTGAAAACCATTGGGTTCTTCCCGCGCAGGTTCGAACGCTGCCGACTGCGTTTCCTCGTTTTGTTTTTCTCTTTTCGACATAAACGACTATGCTCAGAGTGAAATACCAGATGAAGCCGTTGCCGCTGTCGTGGCAGAGTGGTTAAGGGGATGGTCTTGAAAACCATTGGGTTCTTCCCGCGCAGGTTCGAACCCTGTCGACTGCGTTACCTCGTTTTTTTTCTCTTCTCGACATAAAACGGCTATGTTAAGAGGGTAATAGGAGTTGACGCCGTGGCCGTTGTCGTGGCCGAGTGGTTAAGGCGATGGACTTGAAAACAGTTGGGTTCTTCTCGCGCAGGATCGAACCTTGCCAACTGCGTTTCCTCGTTTTGTTTTTCTTTTCTCGACATAGTCGACTATATTAAGAGTGAAATAAGAGTTGACGCCGTCGCCGCAGTCAAGGCCGAGTGGTTAAGGCGATGGTCTTGAAAACCATTGGGTTCTTCCTGCGCAGGTTCGAACGCTGACGACTTCATTTCCCTGTTTTTTTTTCTCTTCTCGACATAAACGGCTATGTTAAGAGTGAAACTGGAGTTCACGCCGCCGCCGTTGTCGTGGCCGAGTATTTAAGACGGTGGTCTTGACAATCATTGGGATCTTTCCGCGCATGTTCGAACCCTGTCGACTGCGTTTCCTCGTTTTGTTTTTCTCTTCTTGACATAAACGACTATGCTCAGAGTGAAATAGCAGATGAAGCCGTTGCCGCTGTCGTGGCGGAGTGGTTAAGGGTGATGGTCTTGAAATCCGTTGGTGTCTTCCCGCGCAGGTTCGAACCCTGTCGACTGCGTTACCTCGTTTTTTTTCTCTTCTCGACATAAAACGGCTATGTTAAGAGTGTAATAGGAGTTGACGCCGTCGCCGTTGTCGTGGCCGGTTGGTTAAGGCGATGGTCTTGAAAAGCATTGGGTTCTTCCCGCGCAGGTTCGAACCCTGCCGACTGTGTTTCTTCGTTTTTTTTTTTCTTCTCGACATAAACGACTATGTTCAGAGTGAAATAGAAGTTGACGCCATAACCGTTGTCGTGGTCGAGTGGTTAATACGATGGTCTTGAAAACCATTGGGTTCTTCTCGCGCAGGATCGAACCGTGCCAACTGCATTTCCTCGTTTTGTTTTTCTCTTCTCCACATAGTCGACTATGTTAAGAGTGAAATAGGAGTTGAAGCCGTCGCCGCAGTCGTGGTCGAGTGGTTAAGGCGATGGTTTTGAAAACCATTGAGTTCTTCCCGCGCAGGTTTGAACCCTGCCGACTGTGGTTCCTTGTTTTTTTTCTCTTCTCGACATAATTGGCTATGTTAAGAGTGAAATAAGAGTTGACGCCGTCGCCGCAGTCATGGCCGAGTGGTTAATAAGATGGTCTTGAAAACCATTGTGTTCTTCCCGTGCAGGAGCGAACCCTGCCGACTGCATTTCCTCGTTTTTTTTCTCTTCTCGACATAAAACGGCTACGTTTAGAGTGACATAGGAGTTGACGCCGCTGCCGTTGTCGTGGCCGAGTGTTTAGGACAATGGTCTTAAAAATCATTGGGATCTTTCCGCGCAAGTTCGAACCCTGTCGACTGCGTTTCCTCGTTTTGTTTTTCTGTTCTCGACATAAACAAATATGTTCAGAGTGAAATAGCAGGTGACGCCGTCGCCGCAGTCATGGCCGAGTGGTGAAGGTGATGGTCTTAAAAACCATTGGGTTCTTCCCGCGCAGGTTCGAACCTTGTCGACTGCGTTTCTTCGTATTGTTTTTCTCTTCTCGACATAGTCGACTATGTTGAGAGTGAAATATGAGTTGACGCCGTCGCCGCAGTCGTGGCCAAGTGATTAAGGCGATGGTCTTGAAAACCATTGAGTTCTTCCCGCGCAGGTTCGAACCCTGCCGACTGCGTTTGCTCGTTTTTTTCTATTCTCAACATAGACGACTATGTTCAGAATGAAATATCAGATGACGCCGTCGCCACAGTCGTGACCGAGTGATTATGGCGATGGTCTTGAAAACCATTGGGTTCTTCTCGCGCAGGTTCGAACCCTGCAGACTGCGTTTCTTCGTTTCGTTTTTCTCTTCTCGACATAGTCGACTGAGTTAAGAGTGCAAAGAAGTTGACGCCGTCACCGCAGTCGTGGCCGAGAGGTTAAGGCGATGGTCTTGAAAACCATTGGGTTCTTCTCGCGCAGGTTCGAACCCTGCCGACTGCGTTTGCTCGTTTTTTTCTATTCTCGACATAGACGGCTATGTTAAGAGTGAAATAGGAGTTGACGCCTTTGCGTTGTCATGGCCGAGTGGTTAAGGCGATGGTCTTGAAAACCCATGGGTTCTTCTCGCGCAGGTTCGAACCCTGCCGACTGCGTTTTCTTGTTTTTCTTTTCACTTTTCGACATAGTAGTCTATGTTAGGAGTGAAAAAAGAGTTGACGCTGGTGCCGTTGTCGTGGCCGAGTGGTTGAGGCGATGGTCTTGAAGATCATTGGGGACTTCCCGCGCAGGTTCGAACCCTGTCGACTGCGTTTTCCCGTTTGTTCTTTTCTTCTCGACATAGACGGCTATGTTAAGAGTGAAAAAGGAGTTGACGCCGTCGCCATTGCCGTGGCCGAGTGGTTAAGGCGATGGTGTCACACACAGGTCCCGTTAATTCGGGAGGCAATAGCCGGGCTAATTCCAAGGGCCGCGGTATCGGCCCCCCGAACCGCACCACGAAAGCGTGGACAATTTAGAAGTGGTCCTTTTTGGCGCGCCAGCGGACGCCAGCTGTGGCCCAAAGAACAAGTCAGAGCCGATAGTTGTTAAACAAACCAATTATAATCTCAATAATGGCAGATCGAAAACAATACACAAAAATGCACTCTCCACGAGAGTTGAGTACAATATAACACCAAACAAACAACGTACTACACAGTACAATCAGCCACACTCGAAACAACGGACACAGCGGACACCTATCGTAAACAACGGACACAACGGACACAACGGACCAGCGGAAACAACGGACACAACGGACACGTATCCAGTCCAAAGTTCTTGGAGCAAAAGTCTGGATGATACTCTTCCGAGAATCACTCACTCAAAGTCCAGGGTTGCTGTCGTTCCGCTGTCCTCGAAGTCCCTCTTCCAGGAAACCCCACGTCTTCAATAGGCCACTCTCCAAGCTTCAAACTTCTTCGCCCGAAACACGTCGGCTTCACACACGCAGCTGTTGCCACGCGTCTTCGATCGATAGCGGTAGACACACGCTCTTGCCTGTAGCTCGAGCCTTCACCCCTCAGGTGGAAATCCTCTACTTCTCCTGCTTTGTCGCCACGGACAAAACCCTCGCCGACCACACGGCGGAATCCCCACGCACTCCGGCGCCAACTTCTGTCTTCTCCTGCTGTGTCACTACGGACAACCTTCGCCGACTACACGGCGGAATCCCTACGCGCTCTGGCGCTAACTTCCGTCTTCTCCTGATCTCTTATCTCGGCTGCTCGGTTGAATACCTTCCGCGCGACATTCCAGAAAGTTCTCGTCATTTCGTCGGCGTGATACGTAGCGAAGGCTGGGGAGAGGCGCGAGACTGTACGGGGGCCGTCCCCGACAGATGACTCAACCCGGCATACACGCCCCTTTCTTTCTGGAAATTTCCAGTGCTTGCCCGGCTGCCGCTGTGGGGTGAGGAAGTTCATCGGCGAAGCCACGCTTCCGAGGGGAGAGCGTCGCGCGCCCGGGGAACCTTTAGATGTTTGTTTTCTTTTTTTTTTGTTGACCTTGCGGCGTCACTTCGGCGCGTTATCACAAGAATTTGGCAGCGCGCCCAATTTGAGCGCTCGTTCTGTGACACTGCCCCCCACTTTAAGAATATTATCTCATAATATTCAAAACCACACAAACGAGCGCGAACAGTCACCACACACTCTCAAAGACTGTAACATAGTGCTTCACTCATGACACGTCACATTCACAATATATCACTCAATACAATTGGACGTTACAATTCAATCTCACACACATAAAATATAACCGCAGGTACATGAGTACAACGCTTCATCACACATTCCAAACAATACAAACGTACAAAGTTCTGTCTTTACAACAATTATACAACACTATACATCACATCACAGCACAGACACTTCGACACTTGTGACAAAGGATACACAACATTAACACAACATATGGCACTCAGCACTGCCAAACACATTCAGATTCGACCTGGACACCAATCCAGTGCATTCCAAGCGGCGCTTGCGCCCTTTCTTGCGGTGCTCGCTCGATCTTTTCTTGTGTTTCCATGTTCTTTTTCGGCGAGCCCTTTCCAACGACGATATCTGAGGCGGCGTCTCAGCCATCGTTGTCACTTCCGACACCGTTACCGGTCGTAACGTTCAGCGGGTCCTGTCTGTTTATTTACCAGCTCGTTCATGTCACGGCATTGGGCTTGGCTGGCCAACTCCGTCACCATTACACTGTCGGTCGGTTGGGGTCCTGCCGACGTACGTCCAGCTGCCCAGCACGTGAACTCATTCAACACGATCATCTTATCATTCATGGTCTCAAGCACCGCGGCTTCACCTTGGGCTCGAGTGAGATCCGTCACGGGATGCTCCTCCATTGTATCTCGCGGTCGCTGGGTTGGCGAAGGCTCTATCTTAGGGTCTTCTCCCAAACATTCCGGATCATTCGGTCCACGCGCCCCGTCGATGTTTCCGATGACAAGATCGTACAGGGGGGTCGTCATGCATAAAGCAGTAACCTTCCCGCTGAAGTACGGGGTTTCAACCTCAATTTCGGCTTCGGGAAGCATCCGAACCGTACGGTCAATTAGGCAAACCAGTTTCGTTTTGCCTGTTAACTCACTTTCCCGTACCAAATTTCTTCGCACGATAACCGTGGAGCTACCAGTGTCTCTTAGAACCGTAATCTTCTTGCCCGCAACCTTTCTAGGCAGCGCTGGCATTCCCTTTGTGACACCGGTTGGCTGTTTTGACATTACAGCACCCACAATAGGAATTTTCTCGCCATTTTTCAACTCTACAAATCCGTCGGTGA